GGGTGAGCGGGTAATGGGCGGAGTTTAACGAAAAGTGTCTGAGAGGATAATGGAATCAGAACGCACTCCGTAGGAATCTGAAGTCTCCAAACGGCGTTGGCATCTTGGTAATGCGTGATCGCCCTATCTAGTTAGAAATTAATCAATGGTTGAGTTATCCAAGGAAGGCGGGGGGCTAAGTTCCGACTGACAACGTGTCGGGTTCGGACGTGTTTTTGCGTGCTGCGTATGTCCTTTGTCTGGACCTTTTTTTGGACTCCCTCCTCTCGTAGAGGTGTTTTGCTTATATTCTACAAACCCATAAGAAACAATGGTGTATGGGCGACTAATGCCCAACCAGCCATAAAAGAAAGAAGAAGAAGAAGACAAGGAAAGCGGGCAAAGAAAGAAAATTATTGTGCGTTGTAACTATAAACGTTTTCACACTTAAGAAATTGACTAATCACAGTCGAGTATTCTTCTCATACTTGATTGTGATTGGTCAATTTCTTAAGGCTTACGGCTTAAATCACCTATTGTAGACCGGCACTTACTCTTCCTTCATGGTTTGCGATTCGCGATAAGTCTGTCCCCACTACCGATACATTCCCTCCTGTTCTTTACTCAACGATGTTTCCATGCTGCGCGCTCCGGCGAAAATGTGGCTTTGACAAAGCTTGCCCGAATGAAGGGTAGCGTCTTGATCCGGAGGCTCATCAGTCGGGACAAACAAGTGGTCCCGCGCCGATATTTAAGTTCGACGACGATGGCAAAGAGTAAATTCGAATATGTGAAAGAGTTTGAGCAGGATGACAACTGTTTGCCAAATTGTTGGATCGTAATTAGGATAGACGGCAGAAATTTCTCCAGGTTCTGCGAGACACATCAATTCGTCAAGCCAAACGATGTGGCTGCTCTGGAGCTGATGAATCGCGCCGCGATCACCGTTATGGAAGATTTTAAAGAGATTATACTAGGCTTCGGACAGAGTGATGAGTACTCATTCGTATTTCGGAAGGACACGGAGCTCTATAAACGCAGAGGTACGCGTATGCCCAACAACAAAGTGCGAAGTTTCCCCATTCAAGAGAATTAAATTACTTGATCTATGATTGGATATAATTATATAAACATTGGTATTTAGTTTTTTGTATTGCATATTGCACATTATTGTATATTAGATATTTTATTACTTATGTTATTATAAATTAGAGAGAGAGAAAGAGAGAGTGCGTTTTTCTTTAATTTTTCTTTAATCCTTCACAGCACAAATCAATTTTGAAGTATTTTAAGCATAATTGTTCATTATTTTGTCAGAAAGTGATTAAGTCAATATATATCTCTATTGCAGTTTTTATTAATATTATTTTATGGTCATTATAATGAATTTTCAAACTTTTTCTCTCTTTTTCTCTTTTTATTTAGACAATTAGGATATTTTAACTAAGTTTTCTGCAATGATTGATTTAACAACCATATTCTGTTAAAAAATGAAAAAGATGTAAAAATCTAAAATAATAAATGTCTCCTATATCGAATTATGTTTTATATACAAACTTTAAAATTTTTTTTTACGAAAACATGGAAGACCAGTATCTTTTAAGATATAAACAATTTAAAATATCAAGAATTTTTCGCTATGTTTTAGGAGTGCAAATAAAAACTTCACTTTTTATTTAATTTTTGGTTGATATTATTTTAACAAATTAATTTAAGGATTACCTAATAAGATATTTAATATCAGAATTTGAAAACTGTTGAACTTTCTATAATATTTTTCCTAAAAATTAACTTTACATTGGTTGAAAAAAGATATAATATTACATAAAAAATGAGGAATAGAAGAGATTCACTAGCAGATCCTGTACTAAAACAAGACAGCCAATTATTTGTTCTTAAGAATGCAAACAAACATATTTTAAACAACTTGAATAATTTCAAAAGGCATATGTATGTAAAGAGAAGACAAATTTTTTAATGTTTTTTTTTCATGCAAAATTTCTGAAGTTTTTAATATTGATTTAAATGAAGTTTTAAGTACATATTTTTTTTCTTGCATATTGTAGCTAATATTAATATATTTAGATCATATAATACAATCTTAAAATGACTTCAAATTCCAAAATTTAAAATCAAATATGTTGGTTTTAAGTTATTAATATATTACATTTATTATCATAATAAATTCAAAGTGATGTTCCTTGGATATTAACACAGATTATTTCTTCTTTTTCTTCTTTTATTATAAATATATACAAATAGATACACTTATATAAATGCAATTGATATCATTAGTATTAAATTGTTTAAATACTATTAAATTATATTAGAACATTAAAATAATGTTATATTCAAATTATAGATAGAAAATATATAACCCATTTTTTAATTTTTATTATCAAAATTTTCTATGGAAATACATATATTTCTCTGAAACTATTATAGATAGGATTTTCATATATATTAATTTATTTGAATAAATTTAAAAAATTTAAACCATTGACTACATTTATAGTTTTAATAAAATTTCAATATATTTCAATCATAAAATTAAATTTTGGTCCAACTATTGTTTTATAAGCCTAATTAAGTTTTATAACTTTATTTGAAATTGATTAGTTTAATTTGTGACACTTTTTTTCAAAAATGTATAAACAGCATAGTTGATATATTGAATTTTTATGATTAATTATGTTGATTGACTATACATATACAAATATACTTTTTTATAATATTTTTATGTCTGTTTCAGCATCGAAATTATTGTCTAACGTAAATTCATTATTCGCTTCGGCGTATGTTTATTATTGGCCACGCATCTTCAGAGGTAAAGAATTATATTATCCACCTTCGTTTGACGCTCGTATTGTATTGTATCCGACAGATAAGAATTTAAGGGACTACTTGGCTTGGCGACAGGCTGATGTGCATGTCAATAATTTATACAACACTTGCTTTTGGAATCTCATTTTGAAAGGAAAATTAACTCCGAGTCAGGTATTATATTCAAAAAGATAAAAGATATGTGATATTTTATACACAAAATCTTATACACAATATTATATAGCTTAATAATTGTTATACATCCACACATATATATTTATTATTCCATTGTACAAGCACAAACAATAAGTATCCTAGGTAATCATATTATTTTGTAGTGAAAAAATGTTTTATTTTAAGATAAATAGCAAATTCTCAACAAAAAAAGCAACAACTTTAATAAAAATTTTATTTGTGAGTTAATCTTTTTAGATATATTGCAAAATTTAAAAATTTAGCTATTGGAATAAATGGTTTTTTCTTATCAAATATTTATTTATGAACAACCCATTTTAAATTCATCAATAAAAAGAAAATTTGTCTTTAAAATATAATATTTAAAAAACACAAAAAACCTATATAGTTATATATAGACTAAATTATAATGTATGTGTAGATATCTTCAAAAATATGCAGAAAAATTAAAATATTTCTCTTGTGCATATTTTAATACTTTAATTGCGGACAATTATTAAATTATATAGTCTTCAAAGAAAAGAAACAAAATTTTATTTAAAATCTAAACAAATTTTTAATTATTATGATTGATTGATATCAAATTAACGTTTTTTCCGTTATAAAATTTCACAAATCCTAGATTGTATTTATAAATTTTAATTGTAATATTGAAATACAGATATGCAGACAATAGTTATAAATTTAAAAAACAAAAAATTTAAAGAATAATGAAATTTTTTGTTTTAATGTTTATGTTTTTTATAATAACAATTTATAATTATAATTTTTATACATGCACACATAATACACCGTTATGTATAATTAAAAAAAAAATATTTTTATGTCATATATGTATATTTATATTACAGGCAGAAGAAAAGCTTAGAGGCACTTTAGCATCACATAAGAATGAGTTGCTTTTCCAAGAATTTGGAATAAATTATAATAATGAACCACAATTGTTTCGGAAAGGTACAACGCTCATTCGGAAATTGGTGCCCGATGGTACAGGAAGGTTGAAACCTGCTGTGGTACCTTTGGTAGACGATATTATCGGTGACCGTTTTTGGAAAGAAAATCCTGAAGTAATTGGTTTGAAGAGTTTAACAACTTATCAACCACCGAACTTAGCGAATAGCATTAAAAACACAATATCAATTCCAACACCTCCCTCACCCACTACAATAAAACATGGGAATAATGTTTCACCACAAGTGATTAATGTGAATTCAATGAAGGAGGAAGTGGACCCTAACAAAAACAGAGAGACGGAGGGAGATCGAATGCAATGTGAGAGTGAACACATTTGTAGAAGATAAATTTGTACTTCTTTTTTTCTTCATACATAAAATTGTATCAGAGCTGTATCTATATTTCATAGTAAAAAGACGATTGAAACTTTACCAAGAGAATACTATTAATAAATGAAAGAATGCTGCAGCAAAAGAGAATAAGCTTCCTTAAAAAGTAATTCTTAAGGAGTTTAGAATGCACGAAAACAATTTAAAAAATAGATATGTAAATATGTATAGATAAGCTGTCAAATAAATTCATTGATGTACGAGTTCAGTGGTGAATTTAAACTACAATAAATTACTTCATATAAGCAAAAATGTGTATTTTGAAAAATATGTAAAAAAAATAACAAGTTTTATTGCTGATACAATTAAATAAAACAACTCTAATAAGAAAGTAAAATTACTGATCATCATTTTCTTTCCCAATTTTCCCCTTTTTCTTTCTTTTTTGGCCTAATGTAAAAAAAATGAAGTATTATGATATATATTGTGTAAAGAATTAAGAAAATTATCCACTATATATTGTTAATCATATGGAATGCAATATACATTTTTATTACTTTATATTTGCAGCTATTGAATATTTTAAATATAGAATACGTGGGAATAATTTATTAAAGATACAATAAAATATACATTATGCACACATAATACAAATTTTGCTATACTATTTAAATTTTAAAGCAAAGTATGACTAATTCTAAATAATAATTCTCTCATAACACTCACATGCGAATATATTAATATTCGATAGATACATATTTATATATTATTTCAATTTTCTAAGACAGCTTTCCTGAATAATATTTTTCAAACAATTTCAGGAAACTTTCCCCTCTGACGACAATTATAATTAACATTATTACATAATTCACAACATTAGATTAAAAGAAAAATGGATCTTAGTAATGCTAAATTAATGAATTACTTTATCATTGTTGCAGAAGTAAATATAATTAACATTATTGCAATGTTTAATATGTTCAATTAATTTAAAATATAGGGATATAATTGTCTATTTTAGCACGATGCTTCTGAGCAACGCATTCTGCGATCCACACAATATTGCGACACTCTTGTTCCTTCAATTTCAAGTAGCTATAGAATACTCCAAAGTGAAATTGTTGAAGAAATGCATGGACATTCAAACGAACCTGTGTATACCATAAAGTTAAAAAAATTAATTGTTAATATAAAAAATATTAATATAAAATTTGTTATTAATGTTTGCATGTATGTATTTTACATAAAGTAATAAATATACTTGCTTCATGCTCAAAAAACTTGTCTTCCAAGGTTTTATCACCTGGATTATTACCTGCGCCTTCAAATAAAGCGCTGTATTCCTGTTTAAATATGGAGCAAGAAAAGAAAACATTAATTTAAAGGAAGCTTATTATATGCTATAATTACAGTTACAAGATTAACAATGATTTAGTTACAATTATGTAATTACACTGTAATTACGATTACAAAATTAACAATTATCTATTTTTAAAAGCATTAATAATTTATATTAAAAAAATTATTAATACATTTTATAAAGCTTTAATCAAACTGTATATTTAAAGTTTTTCTTACAGCATAATATTCTGCTACAGCCTTCACTTGTTCATAATCGTCGGCTCTTGCCAAGGCTGCTAAACCATCTGGATTCAAACGTCCACAGCGTGGATATAATTTTGCACGATCATCTTTACCCAATTCAGTTCCAAATGAATTAATAGTTATAATGATTGCTCTTCTATCTGCTTCAAACTAAAGATATAAATATAATGTTATCTATTTCAGACAATGTTATTATTTTATATAAAGAAGACAAAAGGCAATCAAGAGCCAGTGCGGTAATTTGTGCGCATATGTTTTATTATAATCAAATTACATTGATATTTTAACTAAGTGATAAATGCAATCACAAAAAGTGTACATTTTGGTCCATTTTTTGAACCATCTTTAGCGCAATTACAAAGTATATGGAATATATTATATCAAAACAGAACAAGAGTAAATCATCCATGTTGTCAGAAGGTAAATGTTATATAATGGAATTTCAAGATAGAAACAGACTGTCCGATAAAATATACATTTAAAAAAACAACTGGCAATACAAATATATCGAACTCGAGTGAGTCACCCATGTTGTACAGGAGGCAAATGTTGCACACGAATGTTCGAAATAAAATGATTCGTATCGTCATGAACGTTCTGCATCGAACATTCGTGTGTAACATTTGCCTTCTGTACAACATGGGTGACTCATTTAAGTTCGATATATTTGTATTGCCAGTTGTTATTTTTTAATATAATATATTTTATCGGGCAGTCTCTTTCTGCCTTGAAATTTCATTATATAACATTTACCTTCTGACAACATGAATGACTTACTCTTATTCTGTTTTAATATAATAAAGTATATTCCATATACTTTATAATTGCACTGAAAATGGTCCAAAAAAAGGACTGAAACGCTTTTTGTGATTGTGTCTATCACTTAGTTAAAATATCAATGTAATTTGATTGTAATAAAACATATGCGCACAAATTATTGCGCTGGCTCTTGATTGCCTTTTGTCTCCTTTGTATGATATATTCGTAAAAGCATTTATTAATTTGTTTTGTTATTATTTTAATACGGTGGAGTATCTTACAGCAAGTATTTCACACATAGTATCTGCAGTTGTACCACCAAGTTCTTTGCAAAATTTATAAAACGCTTCTAAATAAGCTTTATAAAGCGTATTTCTTATTATTTCGATATTCATCTCATCCAAATCTTGCTCAGATATGCAATCCACAAAGAAAGGTGCTATAATAAAATAAGCACTGCATATTTCTCAGGAAAGTATATCATGATTTCTCATATAATGTGCAAAAATAAGAACAATATAAATAAGAAATATAATATAAATCAAAATCTTATATACCTAAGGGTGTATCTACCAATACAGCATTGTACAACTCGGCAGGTGTGGCAGCAACATGGATTGCCTCCATTTGCTCAAAGCTACCAAGTGGATGGCATTTTGGGATCAATTCTGAAATAGGTCTTTGATGCAAAGTACCAGTGATTAACAAAATGATGTTGTCAATCATATAACTATAAGTGATGAAATCTAGAAATTGAGACAGGGGTTCAACAGAATGATTGCGCATATGTTGAAATTCTACGACCAGTTTCTCCCTCAATTTGTCGTCGATCACACTAACAGAGAGAGGAGATGGTTCATTTGCCAAGAAGCTGCCATAGTCTGTACCAGCCAAATGTAGTTTCAGATCTAGATAGAAATAATTAATTTGAGCAAAAATAAAAGGATAAGATTATGATTCATTAATAATAAAGACACGAATTAATCGAAAGTATAAATTTTAACGAATAAAGAATTTTTTATGTCCCTTAGCCATTAGTTATATATATATGTATATATTATACGTTACAAAGATATGAAAAACCTTTGTTAAATATAGATCTAAGAACGGCTCAGAAAATAAAACTATTGAGAAATGATTAAGTAAAGCAAATAAATACCTTCGAGCGTCTCGCATTGAACCAAATTCAGATAATCGCTCTGTTGAAGTATGCCGCACTTGAAACCACGGCACAGACCTTCTAAGTAGCCGCCATCGATGTTAAATATGCATCCCTTCATTCTGCGACGAGATTTTCCTCGGATACGTTCGTGCGAAAAAACCGATTTGTCTAATTCAAAACTAGATCTCACATATGACTCGCCTCTTTTTTCATGAAGATCATATGACCAAGCATGCGGAGATATGTCGCGAGCTGTCACATGTACTTACTATCGATATCTGTTCGATTCTCGAATGTGTGTGCACATTTTTGAAATGAGGTTTATTCTTTTTAGCTCAACCACCGATGAGATATCATCAAAGATTGGTGGTCTTATGGGATTCAATGTGACTGAGAGAAAAACTCGCTGCGCGTTATTTTAGTTCATCCACTTTTATTATTTTATTATCGAAAATGTATAGATCTTTTATGTAATTGCCTCAAGAACAACAAAATGAACATTTTATTGTAAAATTACTGTTTTATTATAGACAATGCAAAAATTTACTTATACCTACAGTAGCGCGTGGCGAGTTTTTTCCAGTAATATGCTAAATCCCATAAGATCATCGGTCTTTTATTAATGATATCTCGTTGGTATTTTTGATAATAAAACAATAACTGGATGAACTAAAATAACCGTATGAATTAAATACTTCGTTTAATTATCTTCATAAAGATAATTGAAACATTATATAATATTGTATAGAAGTTATGAAATGTTTCTGTAATGTTACTGCAAGCCTGTGGCAACGTTGAAATATCCGCCCTTAGGCCGGTATTCATAGTCAGTTCTTATATTTAGGACGGTCTTAAGCACAATTTTAAGATGTCCTAAGTGTCGGTCTACAATAGTGATTTAAGCTCTAAGCCTTAAGAAATTGACCAATCACGATCGAGTATTCTCCTCATACTTGATCGTGATTGGTCAATTTCTTAAGGCTTAGAGCTTAAATCACTATTGTAGACCGACACTTAACCAATCACAGAGCTGTATTAGCATCTTAAGGGCCAATTTCACCAAGTCCGACTGTGATTAGTCAATTTCTTAAGGCTTAGAGCTTAAATCACTATTGTAGACCGGCACTTAACCAATCACAGAACCGTATTAGCATCATAAAGCCCGTATCAGACTACGCATTGAAAATTGAAGATTGATGATTAAAGATTGGCATTTGACTAATCAGAACAAAAGGGACGAAAATTTCTTTATCTTGATTGGTCAAATTTCAATCTTGAATCTTGAATCTCAATCTTCAATGCGTAGTCTGATACGGGCTTTAAGACAGTCTTGAAATAAGAACTGACTATGAATACCGGCCTTAGGGCCAATTTCACCAAATCCGGTTAGATGAACCAACGATTAAAATTAGCAAAGTTCCAACTGAAATGATATGAATGCTTGGTTTTCTTTTACCTCTATTTTCTGTTGGCCACCCTGCTAATTTTAACCGTCGGTTCATCTAACCGGACTTGGTGAAATTGGCCCTTAATTACCAAAATTGAAAATAAACGAGAAATTTGTCAGGGATTATGTTTATTTACATTCACAAACAAAAGTTAAGTTGGCTCTACTGAAATATCAATCTTCCTCGCTCCAGCTCCATAAAGTTAGCCGGACCACTTTAACTTTTTAATAATTAAAATTATCTAATCGTTTGGTGGTCGCGGTAGTCTCATTACAACCTTTGGTAGTTAATTATTAGGCTACTACAATTATAAAACCATGTGCGCTGATCCTACGCCTGCGCGTGCCTTCATCGTGTAAGTGCCGGTCTACAATAGGTGATTTAAGCCCTAAGCCTTAAGATATTACATTCAGACAAAATGTTTCTGGATTGGCAATCAGATGAAGAATGCGTAGTCTGATACGGGCTTTATGATTATGCGCTTATGCAAAAGTGTGTGCTCCTCGCTTAAATACATAACACATACGTCCCATAAATAATATATACGAGTAGAAGAAAAGAATCAAGCGGCACTCCTTTAGAGAATGAAATGGCTTAAAGTATATCGGTGTATACTAGCAGAGAGAAGAATGAGAGTCGCCACGCTGCCGTTTTTCGTGTAACGCTTTTTCTAGGTCGTACACTAGCGTCACGTACATCCATTTTCCGCCGCCTGGAACTAGATGGCCACATCCACGTTTGGAGCCGATAAAACAGCTGATTGGTTCATATCCGTGCTACATCCACTTTTCGATTTTGGTTCATGTCCGTGCTACATCCACTTTTCGATATTGTCGATGCTGGTAGACTGATCGTAGTAGTACACTGATCGTTTGACAAAGAGAGATGATGCGCTGTCTTTCCATTTAAAAAATTGAAGGTAACCTTCACGTGACTTTCAAGCAACTATTCCAGGTCAATTTAATGACACCACTTTATGTCCCCCTCGAAACCATACAACTTTTGTCTAAAACATTTTTTTCTAAAATACATTGTTTACGAGATATTTGATAGTTTTCAGACTTTTCTAACACCCTGTATATATATATTGTATATGGGGCATTCTCTGTCAACGGGAGACCCCCCTGCCCATTTTTTGTTTCGATCTAGGAAGTTCATCCGGGACGCAAATTGTAGTTTGATGCGTGTACTTTCACATGTCGTCTGGCACTTTTTAAAAATCAAGATGGCTGCCCCAATATGGCAGCGGAAAGTCCCTGAAGCAATAGAAAAATCGAGTCGTGACTTGTAATATGTGAAACAAATAGTTTGCAGGAGCTTCAAAATGATTATTTAGGGGTTTTCAAGGTCACTGAGTACAAATCCGAGGTCAGATCTTCTCAATTCAAAATGGCTGATCCAATATGGCGGAAAACTACTCAACAGTACCTTAACAGGTGTCACGTAATATGGTACGTAAATCTTTTCCAACATGACCTTTTTTGCCAGACTTTCTGAAGGGACATATACATCCATTTCTTCGAGAGTAATCTGACATAATGGACAAATTATGATATGTTGGATGCGACTAACGTGAAAGAGATTCAATATGAAGCGAGGTCTTTGAGCCCTGAAAAAGACTGATGTTCAGTAAACTTAAAGTAAGTACTAGCTCTCGAAATGATTGATGAGAAGTAGTTCTGAGAACTAATGTTAAATAATCCTAGGAAAATCTTCTCAGAGTTGATTCTGTAGAGGCTCTCCAACAGTAGTCCTCAGAAAGACCGGAAAAAGAAGTTCCGAAAAGAACTGAAGATTGGCCCTGAGAAGAGCCTCTTCAGAAGTAGCACCGAAGAGAACTGATGTGACATAGACCTGAAAAGAAAAGTTATTTGTTACCCTGAAGAGAAAACCCTTCACGAAAAGCCCTGAAAATATGTGCAGTGATCTTAAAAACCTCCAAGTACTCGTTTCAAAACCAATTCAGGCGGTCGCGTAGCATACGTTATGTTACGATTAGGTATTTTTCCGCCATATTTGATCCGTCATTTTGAATTCCCAAATTCCAACTCCAAATTTGTAATCAGCAACTTTAAAAATAATAGACTAATGGTTTCGGAGCCGATACAGGTGATGCGTGACACATGTTAAGGTACTGTTCAGTAGTTTTCCGCCATATTGGATCAGCCATTTTGAATTGAGAAGATCTGACCTCGGATTTGTACTCAGCGACCTTGAAAACCCCTAAATAATCATTTTGAAGCTCCTGCAACCGTTTGTTTCACATATTACAAGTCATGACTCGATTTTTCCATTGCTTCAGGGACTTTCCGCTGCCATATTGGAGCAACCATTTTTATTTTTGAAAAGTGCCAGACGACATGTGAAAGTACATGCATCAAGCTACAATTTGCGCCCCGGATGAACTTCCTAGGTCGAAATAAAAAATAGGCAGGGGTGGTCTCCCGTTGACAGAGAATGAGCTCCATAAAGTTAGCCGGCCAACATCCACTTTTATAATTTGTTTTTTACGAATTGTTTGTTGGTGATTGTTGGCCTAATTACAACGTTTGTTGGTTAATATTTTTTTTGAAAATACGAAAACAAAGTTTTGTGTGAAGTTAGCCGGAAAGATATTATTTTTGTTTCAAACTTAGTTCAATCGATGCACAATCGTTTGTTGGTCACGGAAAAAACTAATTAAAACGTTTGTTGGTTCATATTTGCCTTGAAAAATGAAAAAACTAATGCACTATGATGGAGAGATTGGGGGGGGGGAGTCGTTTAAAGTATTTCGTATGACGATGCCGTCCCTGCCGAAAATGGTCGATTAAAACGGATTTTAAAAAATGTAATCCGAATCGATCGGGATTTCTGCACCGAAAATGCAGTATTAAAAGCGATTGAAAATAGTCAAATCGAACTTAGTACGCTTCAGGCGAGATTAATGTTGGATGATATATCTCCACCTCAATCCGAAATTATACGATTTTATAAAGTTATAATTAAACCTGTTTTAATGCAATTGAATTGGAATTTACCATAGTCAAGCCATAGGTAAAAATTAATCCCTTTTAATAAAAAATTTTATCATTTTGCAGATGAAAAGTAAATTGATTTTATGTAGTATGAAGTCGGATTTGCTGTTATCATGAGTCACAATCAATTATTGAATCGGTGTTTCTACAATTGAAACGGACTCAGTTGTTAAAAACAAATATACGATTTCTCCGCAGAGGGTCCGCCTTATATCCCCGCTTGACCGCTTTCTACTTCCAGGTTGGCTCGCTCGACCTTCGCC